GATTCATTTCATTTCTGAAAGGTGGGCTGAATTCTAACCGTGATGAGTAAAATGATCTGGCACTGTAATGGTGGCGGAGACTAATTATACTCTTCCCTTCGCTCGGCAGCTAACAATGACGTGCCCTTTAACGAGGAACCAAATTTTCGGCAGCTTAAGTCGAATCGCTTAGTGGAAAAACAGGGAAGGAGGGAAAGGGCACGACCGTAAATGTGTGAGGCTGTCATGGCTCGGTGGGCAGACGTCAGGATTCACTTATTACTTAGAGAAAATATAATACGTAAGTTGATTGGTCAGAGAGCCACACTGGTCATTACCTGGTGCTAACTCATGTTCTATTGTGCGTAGGTTCCCTCCAGGTTCTCCTGTTTCTTCCATCAGTCAAACAGACTCATGGGACAGCTGACTATATCATAGGTGTTATGTGGTTTTGAACGGTTCTGGTCATGTTGATGTGTTTTTTATTTATGACATGACATAATTCTACTGGTGGTTCATTAGTCCAGACCTTTAGTTCATTTAGTTTCATTCGTCGTCTCATCTCTTCGCTCTCTACCTGGTGTGTCCTCAGCTCCTGTGTCTCCCTCCAAGAGAGTCGTTAGCTAATCTTTCCCACCTGTGTCTCGTTAGCATCTCTACGTATGAGGTAGTGTGTGATACAGTACCACAGTACTGTCTCTTGGCATCTTGTGCGTTCTCCTGATCCACAGGTTAATGTGTTATTAAGGACTCGCTGTAGCTGAAAAGGTGCCTGTTGGAATGTTAGGATCATAGCTCTGGACTCTTGGCTCTGAATTAATTGTTTGTTTGGGTTTTTTTTTTCTGGCAGTGGAAAATAGCTTTGGTTTTATATTGGGTCTGATGCCATTTTAAACTGCAATTGCATTTAAATATATATACTGTATATGAATATATATTATGTAGCTTGGCATTGGACGGCATTTTTGGATAAATATATACAAAATGCTCACCACGGATAGGTCCGATGATATTCATAGACTCCAATTTAAAAACTCGGGCAGATGAGACTGAATATTGATGCCAAACCTGTCAATCTTCCTCATTTCTCCAGGCTCACTCACCTCGGTTAAACAAACAGCTAACATACAAACCTCATCCTTGAGGGAAATATGAGCGCATCCGTCTCAAGATGCATGATGGGGGAAAAAAGAACACACACTTAAACCACTAAAAGCCATCAATAGCTTCTCCCATTAGTCAATCATTTCCAGTTCTGCTTTTCCAGACAGCGGTCCCAAATGTAAACGGAGTCACACAGACAGGCACACACCAATTATATATGAAAGCACAGTCACACATTTTAATTAGCGGCAGTTTGGTGCAGAAAGCATTAGAGTGTGGACTAATTAATCATCACAGTCTGTGATTTCACTCACTGTACGCCCGCCTCGGGGATTGGCCCAGGTTTTGCTCAGGTTTGTCTGCGGGGAAACGGTAACGCGGTAACTCTGCTCAGAAGAGGTGGTGGGGGAGAGGTCGTCAAATTGATATGCTATTCAGAATCATTTGTTTGCCTTCTGTTCTCTCCCTCTGTGTTTATCTGATGCCTATTTAGAGCCATTTCTGGAATTACTGGGTATTTTGGAACATTATTAGGACGACTAGTCCAACAGGGATCTGAAGCTGAGGATAAAATCTGGGTAAAGATGTGACTTGAAGTCAGAATGAGGTTAGAGTCGGATATTTAGGATTACAGAAAGTTTATTTAAATAAATAAAAGTGAATGTAGAATCCTAACAAGAAAAGCTGCACTAACACACTGTGTGTGAGTGAGTTCAGCTCGGTCACACACTGCCTCTCATTACAATCCCTCTCATGACTGTATTTAATTTGCGGCTCTGCTCCGGAGCATTTTGTCAGACGGCAGGACAAGACCCAATCCCCCCAGAATTCCTGTTCACTGACAATCACTCTGTCTCTCCACAATTTCTGGGACACATCCCTTCATCTGCAAATTGTTGCAATTTGTCAAGATCGCCAACAATCCTGGAACTTCCTGTGCAAATGACGTCACCTCAGCTCATCCCAGGATAGGAGGAGTGGGCTTTCTGTTCCCACTGGAAGCTACTGCCAGGGAGAGAGACAGAATGTGGACTGTGTGAAGTCTCAGTGGACCAGGTCACTGACGGATACTCCCCTTTAATAAATCTGCCTCGGACTATAACTAGGTTGTAGTCACAAACTCAAAGATGAGTGAAAATGTTCAAAAACAAAGCAGCTTTGAATTGGTTCCCGTAGTTGGCAAAAAAAGAGGATGTACACAGATGTCTGGATGACTCGCACGTAGAAGGAGGGCGAGCGTCTCAACAGTAATCCTCTTAAGTAAAGGTCCAAACTGTTGGGACACAGCGGGACTGATGCCCCCGCTGTGGGTGCTGGCCCCGTTTCTATAGCTCATTTCCTGTCCTTGGCATATGGCTGCTTTTCACTGCTGTTCCTTGAAGCTTTTTGTAGAAATATAATCAACCGACTGTACTGGATATCAAGACCATGCTTTTATTTGGTAAACATTCATTCATTTTCCTTGGGGCTTCGGTGGGATTTCCAATCTTTAGTACTAGAGTTGTCCTTTGCAGACGGTGATAGTGTGGGTTTAACCTGCTGCTATGTATTTATATGCTAGACATAAATCAGTAGAGTTGATCTGTTCAGTTTAAACTCATATCTTTTTATTATTGTGAAACTGGACGCAGCCATGCAATGGCTGGATGTCTTTATTTGAACTGCATATTAAATAAAAATTATATTATAATGTTATTTATTTATTTTATATAATAATAATGGCAATAATAATACTGATAATAATAACAATAGGAAAGCATTCAGTCATATTACTCGGCCCTAGCAGTCTGTGTACCTGTGTATTATGTGACCAAGATCTTATAGATCCCTATGTTTAAATTACAGGTAACCTCGTGCCTCATGTACACAAAATTCCTCCTCAATATGTACAGGAATCAATACACAGGGATTTCTTGCACACACGCAAACGTGCGACAACAACAAATTGAAAGAATGTAAAAAAGGCCGAGCCAAGCAGATACATAAACAAAGCACTGATTTCTCTTTATTGATTTTTTTTCCCCACACTCTCTTTTCCCGTTTCTTCAAGGACACTTTAATTTTGAGCCCTGAGTTTACTGTGGGACCTACTGTATGTAAACTGCAGTAAATCTGCTGCCGATTTACAACCTCTGTTCTCCGCGAAGAAATAGGAAACATAAATTTAGTTTTAGTATTCTCTCAGTCCTTTAAAAATTTCACTCTTTGTGGATTCTCGTCTGAACGTTCTTCACCCTTCGTTTGTCCCAGATGTCCAGCGCGTTAGCGGTTGTGCAACACTGAAGGTTACTGAGGTGCAGCCTGTAGCTGCTGCCAGGGTTTTGACATAGTCAGAGTAGACAGACCCGTCCACTTCCACCCTCTTACGTGCAGTCAAGACAGCAGCTGGACAGAGGACCTGCTGTGCAGGAGACGCTGTCTTCTCAGAGACTGACAAACTTTACAGAAACACCTTCAGGCTAGAAAGAATAATGCAACTTTGAAGGGTCAGGATTCCTGGCAACAACTGGACAACAAAATCAACTGCTGACTGTGCCGCGTCATGTGTTTTGTTTTTTTTTTTTTGCAGGAAAAGACTTGAAGTTTCTTAAATACCGTAGAGTGTGTCACTGAAATAACATCACCTCTGTGCTGGGGGTGCTGCTGCATTGCAGTTCATTTTGTTTTTGTCAGTTGGGAGGTCAGCAAGGTGCGCACGGAGACTGACTCATTCTTCGGGCTGCAGTGCTGCTTGACTGGCAGTGCATCATGGGAGTTCAAAGAAGGCATTAACATATGAAACAGGAGCACAATTGTTTTTATAGATGTGTGCTTTCTGGAGAGGGAGAGTAAATGGACAGGAGGTCCAGCAGAAAAAGATGAATCACGGAAATAGTTCCTTTTGTCTGAGGGTAACAAGACAGTCTGCAACGACCACGGGATCAACAAACGAAGCAGACATAAAAACAGGAAGGAAACACACAATCCTCTTCTGGTAGAGTTAAGCTGCTGCTTTATTTCACTTCAGTGAATGTACAACAAAATAGCCCTAATATTTTATCACACTTTTTCCACAAAAGAAACATCTTTAAAATAGTGACAGCTGCATTAGGTTTGGTGAATTCAAGTGAGACAACTGACCAATTGCAAGACCCCCTGCCGTCACGCATGTGAATGATTATAGAGGTTAAAGTCCATTATAAGAAGCCTCAGAATGAAACATTTAAACCACTGTGGCCGTCAGTTAAAAACAAAATGGCTGCTACGTTATTGACAGAAAGCTTAAAGCTGCCCTGAGTGGACACATGTGACACCAAGGCCACTGAAAGTGTAAGATTTTAGCACACTGTGACAGGTCTTTTTTTTTTGTAATTAATTTAGAGCTAAGGCGTGTAGTGTAATGTTTAATTAAACTTTTTTTTAAACAAAGAAAAGAAAGCCCTAGTAACCATTAAACTGTTAAAACAATCCCAAAAACAGTCAAACTTTAGACATAAAGCTCTGTTAGTGTTTTAAAAATCACAACTTTGTTGTTTTTCAAAGTATTCGTCTATTTTTAGTCAACTCAATTCATGTGTGTAGACTTGGCTCTAAGATTGCTACATTGACTCTGATGAGCTACTGCACTGTTTCAAGGCCAATGCTAAAGTTTGAAGAACTAGGCTAGCAAGTCATAGCTATGTTGCTAACACTAGCGCTAGGTCAACCCTACACATATATACAGGTATGCTTTCCTGTCTTGCTTTGTAATTATTACATAATCGAGAAGGAATGGTTGAAGCCTTAGAGAACCAGTCCTGACCGGTCTGTGTGGTCTATAAGCTAGCATTGTTCCGGTTCAGTCAACATTTGGTCAGCTTGTGGGGCTAACAAATCTGGGAGCCATTTGGCTGTAAAAGATTGACCCAGTTAGCAACGATGAATAAATGGAGCGGGACTTGGCCATCAGTCAACTGGGGATTAGGACAAAATATGGGAAAATTATAAGACACAACAGTGGTGGATGGAGAAAATAAGACCTGATTGGCTTAGTCTTTCCTACAGAGCACTTGTGGCCATCACACTTTAGGTATTTATTTAATTCAGTGTCACAAAATCTCATTTCCTACCAATGTTTCAGTCAGACTTCCCCTAATCCCTTTTTAGCAAGATATGAAAACAGGAACGTCCAACGAAGCAGCTGGACACGCTGTCGTCCTCTTCGCTCGACAACACAGTCTTTAATACAACATCCACAGACGTCCCGATTTAACGTGAATTTAACCACGAACAGAAATGTCCTCACCGTCCACTTTTTGGTGCCATTTCAGGAAAATGATCAATTTCAACATCCAGGAGAGTCCACTTTCACGTCTTCCTGATGTCCAGAGCATTAGTCTGATTTGCCAATTTTTTCAAAATAACACCAATATGTAAACAGACAGGGGAAAACAAAATTCAGATAAGCAACAAAAATGACATAGTGAAGCATTTGTTTTAGCTCCTCTACAGTGCAAAAATGATACATGAGAAAAAAAAAGCAGTCAACAAAAAAAAAAGCAATAAATAAATTTCTTTTGTTATATATTTCTGTGTTTACGTATATACATCATTTCAGCTCGTGATAACGAGTCTCTACATGAGCACGCAGCTCTTGGCTCGGTCCTTCCTCATGGTGGGGGCCTGGTCCATTTGCTCAGTCCGTCCTGGCAGGGGCAGTTGTGACACTCTCTTCAGGCCCCTGCGAGAACTGCTGCGTTTTAGCTGCGGCTTTTGCGGCCGCTGCACTGACGCCAGCGTGGTGATGTGAAAAACATCTCGAACGCTGTTTTCTGAAACCTTAGAGGTGCATTCCACGTAGGCCACCGCTCCCATCTGTCGAGCTATCGTGCTCCCCTACGACAGAAAATTACACAGCAGCGGGTCAACAAACAGGCAAACAAACTGTATCTTAATGTAAATCCATGAAAACAGCAACATATTCAAGAGTGCCACAAAAGCAGCAGCAATTAACGTGATCTTTCTCCCTCCTGTAGGGGGCAGCAGTAGCCAGAAACTTGCACTTTAGCCCAAGTGTCAATGACCTGAGCATGTCGGGAAACGGATGGAGCTCCTCCACAGGAGACATGAATAATGCAGATGCTGTGGCTCCTTAGTCTGTGATGGCAAACAGGGAACAGAGCCCAATGGGCCAGTATTGATGGTCTCTGCAGCTATTCAGAGTGTAGAGGTTAAACTTTATACTCCTCCAGCATTTCACCCGCGGGTGCTATCACCATATACTCAGCTGATTGAGGCGATAAATCGTCTATGTCAGAGGACATCAGCAAGATTTAATTTTAAAATCCCCTGACGTCGATTTTAATGCAAACTTTGTAAACACAGGTTTAAATTGTACACCATGACTTTGTTGCAGGTACGTCTGAAAATGTTGCTGCTTTCACGTTTTCATTATGAGAATTCCCTCCTCCGAATTTAATCTTGCTCAAATGATCAGAACAAACATTTATTTATTAACTAAAATGTCAGCTATTGATTTTAAATTGTATCTCGCACACCCCCTGGTGGCAGCTCACGCACCCTCAGGGGCGTGCGGATTACACTTTGGGAGTCCCTGGTGTGAGCTAATGCTTCAGGCCTTAACATTAAAGAGCGGAAACATCCTCACGAGGTTTAATAACAAGGTACTGCAGATTGCCGAGCCATTGAAGGAAAACTTAGACCGGGTCTTTAACAGATTAGCCTGGAAATGTCATGGGTTCACCTGGTGGTCACTCTTTTGCTGCCAACTCCTCAGCTGTGTTGGAATTCAATTTCGGATCAGCAACGGGATAACAACAAGACTATTGGATTATAGCACTAGAGAGGGTTCATTGTGCTAAAGTATGGCGTCTGCTACTGCGTGACACACATTTCCTTGGCCTAAACCCATACTGTTAGGAGCAGGAGCCCAGACCAAATAACAGTATAATGTCGGCCTCACCTCTAATGGTGCCACGCTCTTTTACAGTAGCTCCACGGTTCTTCCGCGCCACCTTTTGTTTACGTATCTTATTTCCATAAACTGTCTGTCTTCTAGCGGCTAGTTTTTCAGCAGCTGCGTGCTTTTAGCCGCCGGCCAACTCTCAGACAGCAGCGGAAAATGGGCTCTTTTGTTCTGAGGGCTTTTGTGCCGCGTTGAAAAGCTCCTTTCACTATTTGTATGTCCAACACAGGAGAGCACAAAATGAACATGCTGAAAGCTGATTAAAAATTCACACATTTACAGCACAGTTTATCACCCTCTCTCTCTCTCTTCCCCCGGCTCCCCTCTCGCCCACCACCCTACCCCCCTTGGCACAGAGGTCATGGCGGTGTGCGATAAAAGGGCTCATTCATTCATCAATGTCCACTTTTTTCACCATCCTGCATTTTGAAAACACCTAAATCTGCATGAATATTTCATTTCGGGGGGGGAAATGTGTCCCTAATCTCCACTAACCACCTGTGCCTCCAACACGGCCCTTACTATAATCAAACCTTACAACCCCTGTCAGCAAATTTCAGTCAAAATGCCAACCCCAGCAACACGTCCCAGAGGGGCTTTTGCACAGCTCCTATTCTGCAGAGCTTGATTATGTTGCGTGAGCCTCCTCTTACACTTCCTTCCTCTGGGACATCAATGCCACTGCTGATCCAAAACGGGGAAAAAACCTACTCGATATCATTGAAATGTGTTCTAATTTTGCTTCTGCACATCAAATTAAATTTTTCTTTTGCTTGTTTGTTCTGTTTCCTACACCTCCAGTTCTCACCTGTTCGTGGGTGACGGGGATGAGCCGCTGCTTGGACAGCTCCCTCAGGGTGTTGACATCTGTCCTCATGTCCAGTTTGCAGCCCACCAGCACCACTTTGGCATTGGGACAAAACTCTTGTGTCTCTCCCTGCCACTGTAAGTACACAAGCCAGGAAAAAATGTCACGAAAATCTGCTTAATGTGAAGTAATTCTGTCCAATAAATATTAGGAAATAAAAAAGTTTATATTGAAAATTAACATTGAATTGTGACACATAGCTGCCACATGTATTTTGATCATTATTTATTATTAATAATACTAAGGGTTTTTCATTGTTTGCTGCCTTTTCAAACTTTATATTTTGCTTATTGGCTTATTCTATATTATAGTTTTTGCTGTTATTACCCATAGTGAAGCTATAAAAACAGTGAAAATATCAACGTTTGGTTCAGGCTGTCTCTCCACCTGAGGTGTGCTTTATTTTCCTCGCATAAACAAATCTATTTTCAGTTGTCTGCTGCAAAGGTTGAGTCTTTCTTGACAAAACCACCCTGAGATTAAATGTCATTTCTGAAAAGTCAGCTGAAACAACACAGTTGTTTCTCGGCTGTCTGTGTCGCAGCGTCAGAAGGAGCAGCCGATGTCTCTGAAATGCTCCGCATACCGTGTGCGGATCGTCTCGCTGTCCATTCGTGTTCATGATAAAAACAGAGCTCGTCCTTCAGGACCAGGCTTTGATTGTTTAACCCTCACTCCTCCCCCTGCTGTCTTCCACAAACCTCACTAACCTGCTTGTTTCACGAGGTCAAGAGTCTAATTTGGGATGGTGATTGTGCAACAGGTTTTCCATGTGCCCCCGGGTCTCACAGATTACCAGGGTGACAGCTACAGGTCAGAGGTCAAAGCGACCCCCTGTCTTGGGATTCATGGGAAAAGCGAAACCTTGGCAACAGCTCTGTTTCTCGCTGTAGTTAGAGTGCAGTCGGAGTGTGAGATATCTGTGGGTTTGAGGAAGGTGTGTCCGGTTAGGGCCACAAAGTCTGTCAGGGCCATTTCAGTGACTCCCGTCAAACCGTCAAACACGTCAACAACCTAGTCGTGGCTCGGCGTTTAGCCCACAAGAAGAGCAGTTCAAAGGCAAGCCTATGTGCAGGGCTGCAAGATAAATGACCACTAAAAGGCAGTGGCATGTTTTACATGACACACATGTAAGCAAGCACAGCCAGTTAAACTGGGTGTTTCTTTCTCTGTATAAACAGAGAGTGTATCAGCACTGGCTACAGAAATACATCCATGACCACAACGTCTTCCACTGACTCCGTCAGGACAACAGAATGACGATGTTCTAGTCCTGCTAAACAATTGTGCTTTGTTTACAACCTGTGATCCTTAGCTTTGGCATACTGTTTACAGCATCATTATTAATCACGATCAATCACAATACTCATGTTTAATTGTGATTAATCATGATATAAGGTCGTTATAAGATTGTCTTCTCAAACAATGGACAGAACTTACCCAGTGGTT